AGAAATAGCTCATGTGTATATTTTCTGTTTCTTTTTTTTAATTATTATTAAATTTTATTAGTTTTAATGAACATTTACAGGGATTTTGGGTTTTCGTTCCTTCATTGCTGCACCATTCTCTCTACCCTCCTCTCCAGTTTGTTCTTCTTCCCCCGCCATCTGAATGTCTGTTTTAATTGTCCAATTGCCACAGTGCTTGTCAAAGTCAGCTCTGATCAATCTCCTTTGTCAGTGTGTCCTTTGCCATTCCCTATCACTCCTCCCCGAGAGAGACTTCACCCTGATTCATAAGGAAAAGGGGATGGCGTATTCTCTTAGCTACTTCCTGCTGAAAAGGGACGCTGTGGGTTTCAGGGTGAAGATCTTCTCTCACTACTCTAAAGGGCCCCTTTGGCAGTAGGAAACACATAGACTATTATGGAGATTGATTTTGGAATTTAGATGCACTGTTGTTAATTGTGCTTAGCCGTATGTGTTCATATCCTTGAAGATGTATCATGGGGGTGTTGCAACCTAGAAGACACAAATTTAACTAACAAGTTATAAGTACATGAGTCAAAAATTATGGAAAAGTAAAAGAAAAGATTCTTTCATTGTTTTACAAACCCTATTTTCTGTTTCTTGTACTAGATTATAAACTGTAAATGGGGCAGATTCAAGTTTTTCTTCTCCTTAAGCACTCAACAAACACTTATCAATTTTATACCCTAAATACCAAAACTCTGCTGACATTCATTAGTAAAAAATATTTCTACAAATTCCATTCTGACTTACATAGTCTGCAAGCAGTTTACACTAATTCTTTTTATGGAACACATAAATATCGACATACCAGGCATTGGTGAAATGAGATAGATTGGCATGGAATATTTTGAATCATATGATCATATGATCTACTATGCCAGAAATGAAATGAGAGGAAAAACGGGTGGGGGAGGCATTCTTGGTTAAAAAGATGATTGAAATCCATCTTGAAATACTATGTTGTGAATGAAAGGATAACATCCACTCAGATAAAAGGAACACCTGTCAATACCACTACCATTCAAATATATGCACCAACAACCAATAGAGGTGGAAACAGGCAATTTCTACCATCTTTTGCAGTCAGAAATCAATTGAACATGCAACCATGTACTAATACTAATGGGTGACTAGAATGCAAAAGCTAAGAATAGAGAAAAGGATCAGTAGTTGAAAACATGGGGCTGGTGACAGAAGTGAGGCTGGAGATAAAATGATAGAATTTTGTACAGTCAATGATTTATCCAGTGCAAACACCTTTTAAAAGAAACATATACTGTGACTATATACATGGACTTCACCTAATGGTCTGCACAGGAATCAGATTGACTATATCTATATAAAGAATCACTGGAGAAGCTCAATATCAGCTGTGAAAAGTACACCAGATTCTAATTGTGGAGCAGACCTACACCCACTTATAGCAAGTTCAAACTGAAGTTAAAAAAAAAAAATGAAATGAAATCCACAAGAACTGAAATTTGACCATGAGTCTATTCCACCTGAATTCCAAAACTATCTCAAGAACATGTTTGAGGCCTTTAACACTAATGAACAAAGGCTATATGAGCTGGGAGGATATCAAGAATATTATCCAAGAAGAATGCAAAAGGTCATTACAAAGACAAAAGAGGAAGAAAAGATTTCAAAGGGCAGGGTGGGAAGACAAAGCAAACTATTATAATGAAATGTGCAAAGAGCTAGAGTTCGCAAATCAAAAAGGTCAAATTTGCTTAGCATTTTTTAAACTGAAGGAACTGAAGAACAAATTCAAGCCTCAAATTGCAATACTTAAAGATGCTATGGGTGGAATACTGGATGACTCAGGAAGCATTAAAAGAAGATAGAAAGAGTACAGAGTCACTCTACTAGAAAGAACTGGCCGACATAAGGTATTTCATGAAACAACTTATGTTCAAGAAGCAATGATGATGAAGGAGGATGTTCAACCTACCCTGAGGGAATTGTCAAAAACCTAGGTCCCAGGAATTGATGGAATGCCAACTGAAATATTTCAGCAAACAGATGCAATCCTGGAAGAGATTATCAGGTTGTGACAAGAAATATGGAGGACAATCACCTGGTCAATTGACTGGATGTGATCCATATTTAGTCCCATTACAGAAAAAGGTGATCCAATAGAGTGTGGAAATTATAGTATGATATCACTACTATTACATACAAGCAAAATCCTGCTGAAGACTATCCAAAAGTGACTGCAATAGTAAATTGGCAAAGAACTATCATAACTACAAGCTGGGCTTAGAAGAGTTTGTGGCACTAGGGACATCGTAGCTAATGTCAGATAGATTGTGGCCAAAAGCAGAGAGTACCAGAGGAATGTCTATCAGTGTTGCATTGACTATCCAAAGGCATTTGACTATGTGGATCACAACAAACAGTGGCAACTTTAAGAAGAATGGGAATCACACAAAACCTTATTGTGCTCATGTGAAACTTACATGTGGACCAGGAGGAAGACGTCAGAACCGAGAAAACACACACACACACACACACACACACACACACACTGCATGGTTCAAAATCAGAAAAGGAGTATGTGAGGAATGTGTTCTGTCTCCAATAACTTTTCAATGTATATGCAATCTGTATTCAAGAGACTGAACTTTATGAGAAGGAACATGGCATCAGGATGGGGAAAGACTCATCAACAACCTGCATTATGCAGATGAAATAGCCTTAATTGCTGAAACCAAAAAAGGCCTGAACCTTTGCTACAGAGGGTCAAGGACTATAGTTTGCAATATGGGTTGAAGCTCAACATCAAGAAAACAAAGATTCTTACCACTGGGCCAACTGGAAGCATACTAATAAATGAAGAAGAGATTGAAATTGTTAACAATTTCAGCTTACTCCATTTAACAATTAATACCCTTGTCACCAGCAGTCAATAAGTCAAAAGATGAATTGCATTTAGGAAAATCTGTTGTCAGAGACCTCTCCAGAGTGCTGAAGAGCAAGGATGACAGTCTAGAAATTAGGGTGTGCTTGATCCAGGCCAATTACTTATTATGCATCAGAGAGCTGGACAATGACCAAGGACAACAGAAGAAGAATTGATGCCTTCGAATTGTGGTGCTAGAGAAGAGTATTGAACATACCATGGACTGCCAAGAGAACTAATAGGTCTGTCTTGGTGAAGGTGAAACCAAGCTGTTCCTTGGAAGTAAGGATTTTGAGACTCCATCTCACATACTTTGGTCATATAGCCAGGAGGGACCAGTCTTTGGAGAAGGATATCATGCTTAGAAGGGTGGAGGGACAGCACAGGAGAGGAAGACCCGGGATGAGATGGATCGACAGAATAACTGAGGTAATGTGGGTAGTTGTGTCAGAGAGAGTGATATTGGCTCAGGATTGAGCAGGATTCAGAGCTAATCATAAGGTCACTATGAGTTCTAGTCAACTCGATGGCACATAACAACAATTCTTTTTAAGTTCACAACTCTAAATTTCTTTTCTCTATGTATCTCACATATCGCACAACACATACGTCCCTGACTATGGTAAGGACCAACCCAAAGGCATGCAATTTGAATCCAACAGCTGGTCCTCGGGAGAAAGCTAGGCAATCACCTCCTATGTGATTTACTGCTTCTGAAAACCTCCTGACTGGTCAGATATGAGTCATTCCTAATTCCAGAGTGCCTAATAAAAACTAAAACACCAATTCTCCCACTCTTTATATACAGCAGGCTGGAATAAACTACCTTTAAAACACCTGTGAGTGCTCAACAGCTAATAAAGACTCAGAGATAAGCATGATTATGGTCACAAGGCAAACTCATTAGCTAGGAATGAGTTTATGACTCCGGAGTGGTGGGAGGGACAGCCCTTTGTGAGTGTTGTGTTTTAAAGACACTCAACATTTCAAAAAGGCAAAGTAATATCTTCAATTAAGAAAATATTTTTATATTTTTAATTTCATTTTGATTGCAAAACAAATTCTTTGTAATTACTCCCCAGAAGGTGAGTTTGTGAAATGCTTGGCTGCCAGCTGAAAGGTTGGTGGTTTCAATCTACCAGTAGCATCTCGGGAGGAAGATGCGAAGTCTCCTCCTGTGATCACTACAAGGTGGACATGACTGGACAGCAGTGAGTGAATTTAGTTGATAGCTTTAGTCTTTCATGGACAAAACAATTTTAAAAAGAAATTGTTGTTGTTATGTGCCGTCGAGTCTCTTGCGACTCATAGCGAACATATGTACAACAGCCCTAAACTCTGCTCTGTCCTGTGCCAATCGCACTGTCTCTGACACTCCCATCCCAATTATCCCAGTCACTGAATCAATCCACCTCCTAGAGAGCCTTCCCCTCCTGCGCAGTCCCTCCACTCTCCCAAGCACATGTCCAAAGTATGTTAGACGGAGCCTCAGAATCCTTGCCTCCAAGGAGCCACCCGGTTTAACCCTTTCCAGGACAAATCAGTTTGTTTTCCTAGCAGTCCATGGTATTCTCAATACTCTTCTCCAGCACCACAGCTCAAAGGCATCAAGTGGAGTGAGGAATTTGACTTTTTTTTCTTATTTATTACATGACTGATACTAGAAGATGCTATTGATATGTGAGCTTTTCCTGCCTTTTCATTTACTTTAAATATGTTAGTGAGTTTAGATACATGGGAGTGCAAATATAGAGCAATCAATAATCACATAGTCATATAGCTACACAGTATTATGAGGAGGTTGTTAAAAGACTCCTAGTGGAAATAAAAAAAGTTGGCTAATTGGTGGTATGATGTTGATGTAAAGATTGTTTTTATTAGATTAAAAAGAAAATTTTTATCTGCTGTTTTTCTTTTCTCTCAGTAAGGTTTGCTTTTTGTGTGCTCCCCCGCCCCCCCCCTTAGACAATGTCTTAAGAGTGCGCTAATTAGAAGTAACATTATATTGTAGAAACTAAAAGATTGTCACTGAGTTTGACTCATTGCGGGCTACTGTCCAAGGAATACTTACCTGTTGAGCAGGGATAGATAAGGGCTGAATCACAGCTGTGGTCACACCTGTCTTTGGAGATGATGATCCAATTGTTAAGGAAACGGAAGTTGTTTTCTTTTGAGCTCTACAAAGCAAGGAGGCAAGTGTTTACTCAGATTATTTTTCTTTAATAAGAATTATTATTGAAAATATGTTCACAGAAATAACTGTATTTCTTTCATCAAATAATTTCAACTGCATGTTCTCTGAAAGGGAAGTCATATACAGTTGTAACAGCAGAGACAGTACACGTACCTCATAAACACATAAAAAAATCAAATATTTGGATAAAAGAAAAGTACCTATATGTAACCTAGTCATCATCAAAGAACATAAATATTACGGAGAAGAAGAATTTTTTTATCCATAAGCAAGTATTTACCCTTTAAAGTTAGTCTTTTACATTGGGTCAAAGTTTTGGTAATCTAGTGTTAGTCTAGCAATTGTTCTTTGTTCTGATTTCTAATTTTGATAAATTATGAGAATCTTGGAAATTTTATCCTTTTTAGTGCATAGAAGTTTGTGAGGAATAAGGAAAGAATTAGCATGAGTTGGTTTCTAGGTCCAGCTTTGCCAAAAGTGGCTGAATGGACTATCTCAAGTGACTCATGTAATCTCACTAAACCTGAGTTACTTATTTGAAATCAGAAGTTGCAAAGCATATGACTGTATAAGGTCTCCACAGCATTAATATTTGATGCTGAATGGATGTAATTGTTAGGGATATGCTAGTACGTTAAAGAGATTTATTAGTTTAAGCCTTTAGTATAAAAGTATTAGTGATGTTTTCTGCAAATTTTCTGGAGATTTTGTTTCAGTTTTGTAAAATTGTTATTATCGCTATGTGCCATTGAGCTGGAACCAACCCATAGCTGACCTTCTGGTGGGTTTTCAAAGACAGTTAATCACACAGGAGGAGACTGCCCATCCTTCTCTCATGGTGGGTTAGAAAGGCGTGCCTTTGGGTCATTAACATTTTACAAATAATCTTTGTTTTTGAAGGAAGAAGTTGAATTTTGTGATTTTCTTGTGTCAAAGGTTATTGCTTGCTTAATAGGATTGTTGTTGTTGTTGATTGCCATCGAGTCGAGCACGACTCATAGTGACCCTATATACAAAAGGCCTGAAGCCTTTCTTTAACTATCGTCATATATCAAAGTTCATAGTGTCTAGAAGCATGATGTTTAGGAAGTGGATGCTGCTCCTGCTTCCAAAACTGACTTAAACTGGGAGCTCCACCAAACACTGTCCACCATGGGTAACTGTTATGGAATTTGACACCCCAATGGCACAAGGTTAAGCATCACAGCAACCCCAGATACCTCTTTCAGTATATTGACAGAAGAGTGCTATACTACTTAGAAGAATGTTCCTCCAAATTACTAACAACCGACTTTTAAATAAAAAGGCCCTCCCTGAGGTCATTGTGACTCCAGACAAGAGGCTTAAATAAAAAACAACCAACCTGGTGTGCTGTTGTTCTTATGTGCCATTGAGTCACCAGCGATGTATAGCGACCCTATGAACAGCAGCTCTGAACCCTTCCCTGTCCTGTGCCTGTCTCACTAATTCTGACACACCATTTTTCAATTTCTAACAGTAAATTGGTCCTTGTTTTCATTTGAGTAATGATTTAACTGATTTTATTCTCAACATAATTTCTCTTGTTTTGTACATGACTAATCAGCTGTCTTTGAAACTAACGTTGCAGGTTAGATTTAGACATTTTGATTTTGGTAATTGCAAACTTCAAATTGGTAAGTATAAAAATTTATATCAACTTTAAATATTTGCTCTTTGACATTAGCCACGTTTTTCCTTCAAAGCACAACATGCACAGCTTTTATGCTGTCGTTCTTTACAATAAGGATAGTTGATGGTGGAGTGGGCACTTACTGTGGCATAGCTCCAGGTTTTGATTTGAAAGCTAAACTTTCACTGTCAGAATCTGATGAACTGGCACCTGGGAGAACATGAAATAAAAAAATAAAGTCAAGAATTATATGGTATATCTAATCATTTCAGATTAGTGTCATTCATATAAAAATAACATATTGTCTTATTTTTTCTATACTACACAATAAAATACAGAATATTCAGTGTATTTTTATTGAGTCTGTGCTTTCAGAATTAATTTAGAAGCATTATTATAAAAAAACCTTCTTCATAGTAATATATTTTTAAAGCCAGATTTATCATTACTTTCATTTTATATCACTTTGACGATCACTATTTATGAAATAAGCATGTGTGTGTGTGTGTGTGTGTGTGTGTGTGTGTGTGTGTGTGTAAGAGAGAAAGGGAAGGAGAGAAATGTACATGGTTATAAATTTTATGATTTATCAGATTATATTAAGTGAATTATTGTTTTCAGTCGTCATTAATCAAGAGATGCTTCCTGAGTTTTGGCTATCGTATAATAGCTTCATTTTTGCATAAAAGAATCTATGATTTTTTTTATTCTCTTCCAAGTTTATTTGGATCATTATTGTTCATGAATTAAAGGTCATCTTAAAGCAAGTTTGTGTTCAGCTACTAACCTAAATGGTGGCCATTCAAATCCACCTAATGTCACTCTTATGGCATTGCAAAAGAGAGGCCTAGAGATCTTATTCACAAAGATTACAGCTAAGAAAAAAAATCCTATGGAGTTCAATTCATTCTCCTGTGTAGCACATTGGGTCACCTGGCATAAGTTAAAATCAACTCAATGGCAAAACATTTGGGTTTGGTTTTATAAGATTTGTAGCCAAAAGGTAAGTAGCATTTTTAATGTTACCATATTTTCATCATGAAATTTAAGTGACAAATTTAAAATAAGTGTAACAGATAAAGTATACAATGGTGCTACTTTTAAGAGCTATATTCACTCATTAACTATGCAGATGGTGACACATTTCTAACCTTAATGTTTATATCTTCTGGGAGGAAATTTCCCATTTTTTTAAGGAGTTTTTCCCTCCCAAATGAATGTTAAAATATGTTAAAAATTTTTGTTTCTACCTCAGTTTTGTAGCTTATTATTACTTAATGTTTTGTTAAATAAATTATTTATTAGCAGAAGAAAAGAGCTATAATCACCTTGAGTTATTTAAATCATATATTTATTGATATTTTAGTAGAAAAATAATGTACTTAGTCCCAATGTGTATATAACAGGGTTTCATCCTATCAACCTCATCTAAGTAATTTTTAATTTAAGTTGAATACCTCATTAAAAAAAACTCCCTATTTTCATTATAATTGCCTTTTATTTCTATATAATATATATATTAAGATGTAGATCTTGCATCACCTTTGACCGATAAATATTGCGACTATACTTCAGAGACACCGATCCCAACATAAGGAACTACCATCAGCTGATGTGTTTGAAATCACAGAAGCCATGGAAGCTTCATATATAAGT